AAGCTAGAAGTGTGTTGTGTCATAGAAATGTTATTTATCGTTTCAGATATGGAAAAGGTTTACAGTTACAATGTAACTACACGCACTAGTTTTTGAAATTTGCAAAACTGTTATATCTCTGACAATGTTCTAATAAACATTTTTTAAAAGGTAGTCGAATATGTGTGCAATTTCTACTTATTATGCATTTATCCTTCCTATTTTGTGTGAAAAATGAATGTGAGACCTGATGAACGTTCTTTGTGTTTTTATGAAGTAGTAAAAACTGTACATCTGTAATTCTGATGAAAATTGAAAGCCGTAATACTAGTAACATAATGAGAAATGGTGATATCAAATAATGCTTTAAAAACAAACAATGTCTTCCTGTCAGCCTATGGAAGAAAAGGCCTTATGTGAACACTTATAGTACAAAGGTAAGTTTTAAAGCTAATCGCTTTATGTTTTAAGGAGAGATTTCTCTGTTTTCATGCCGTGGAGTGGTTTCTTCTGAAGATTTTCCACTCATAATATGCATACCTTCGTTGGACAAAAAATGTACAAAGATGTTTGAGTGTGTATCTCTGTTCCTAATGATGAATCAGTGTTAAGATTTAAAGTATCCATGTAAAAGGACAAGCACTGCTTCCTACGTTTATTTTCTACTCTTTACTCCGATTTATCATAACGTTATTTAGGATAGGCTACTGTTATTAATAAATGTTTAATAAAATTATATGTAAATGTTTTTTCTCTTTTTTGTAAGGCGTTATTGTTAATGTAAAATAGAAAATGTGGACTTAAAAACTCAAGTACACTCTTTCAAATGGATAGCATTCCATGCGCATCACGTTTTTAAAGGGGGTGTTTTCTTTGTTCTTTCTGCTGTTATTCTTTGTTGATTTGAAATCAACTATAAATAACTGCTGAAAGAACAAAGAAATTAATAATTTCTAATAAATGCAATTCAAGAATAATTGCATCTCTTCTACATATGTTACAAAATACCAATAGATTTTTTTTTCCAATTCATAGATTTAGTCATTAAAATGACAATTTTATTAATCTAAATTAAACTGGTAGAAGACGACTTAAATTCTACAATACAATGTTTAAATAATTTTATGAGTGAACAGTGATCAAGCTTAAAAATCCATTGAAGTCAATGCAGAGCAAACACTGACCTCTAGAACCATAACAACTGGGATTTGGTTGCATGGAGGAAAAAGCATCTTTTCGACTGGTTAAACCTGTGATCTTTTTCATGATCGGGGAAACGGGCAAATCCAATGTCAAATGAAATATGTAAATAGCAAAATGTTATAAAGCTAAAGAGTCCAATGAAACAAAACAAGTCGGAAGCAAAACAAACGCAGACTCCTAAAAAAGGCAAAAGTAGGATCAGGAGCCGTGGAGAATTAAGACCATCCGTCAACCGGTACCATCCACCGGTTTCTTCTTGTCAGAAAGACACCACAGAGTCTGACATATCTGTTTAATACCTGGATATTTTACTTGAAAAAGACGTTAATGGTTATCTAACAACCAAGCTATATGATAAACGTGATGACTTTAACTTTTCTATCGTCAACTTCCCTTACTTATGCAGCAATATACCTTCATCACCTGCATACGGAGTATATATATCTCAGTTGATTCGATACGCAAGAACATGCTCTACGTATGAACAATTTCTAAAAGGAGGTAAATTATTGACAAGCAAGTTGGTGAAACAAGACTATCAGCAGTCTCGTTTAAAGTCATCATTTTGTAAGTTCTATGGTCGATACCATGACCTTGTCAGCAAACACAATTTATCATTGAGTCAAATGCTGACTGACGTTTTTTCGTACTTATTGTTAGTCCATTATTTATACACTGAATTGACGACGGATTTTCCCGTTATTTCCCGATCATGACAAGGAGCACACAGCGAGTGTGACCGGTCAGCAGGGGATGCTCACTCCTCCATGGCACCTGATCTCACCTCTGATGTTTCGGAGGTCTGTGTTTGCTCTGCTCCTATTTTGTCCTATTTTGAATTGTTTTATGGACTTTGAGATTGAATACTGTTCGTTATTTCCATATCTTTCCTTAGGAAGAAATTCTTCAGATTCATGTGTCAGTTTTGAATATTTTTTTAAGATCCCAAAGCACCACAATGAATTTGAACTACCATATCTACATTGGATTCCGAAACTTCATAAAAATCCTTACAAATAAAGATACATAGCAGGTTCCAGTTAATGATCAATCAAGCCTCATTTCATGTTTTTACGTTTTTAAAACGTAATATAAAAATCTTTAGATATTAACAGCTAGTGAAAGAGAAACATTTTAAAAAGTAGTGTGCAAAAATATATCCGAAAAATGTGTCCAAAAGGATTTAATCATAAGATTCTTGAAGGAACTTTCAGAAAATTTGAAATCACAAGATTTTACAAAAATCAAATGTTTTAAAAACTGTACCACTTTTAAAACTTTATCTGAAATGTTTCGAAAAAACCTTTTTAAAGTCCAGGCTTTAAAATGTTTTGACAAATGTTTTTTCAATGAAAATGGAACTCGTAAATTTACTTACCTCGTCCTTGGTCATTCGCAAAATTATTTTGTCAAAACACATTCTGGTTGCACACACAAGTACTCTGATCATGAAGTTGACATAAAAAGATGCTTCGGTTTCTGATTGACAATACCTATGTGGTTTTTGGAGACCATGTCTTCCAACAATCTATTGGAATTCCCATGGGTACAAATTGCGCTCCGTTATTAACAGACTTATTTTTGTATTCATATGAAGCAGAATTTATGCAAAATCTTATGCATGAAAAGAAGAAAACACTTGCTGTGGCCTTCAACTCGACATTTAGATATATCGACGACGTATTGTCAATCAACATAATAAATTCTTTTATTTAGACAGGATAGCACAATTAGTACATATGACTAGTTTACATTGTGGTCCTGTATAAAACATATTTACAGACAGATATAAAAAAAAGAATGTAGAAACTAGATTAAAAAAGAATATATACATAGTTAAAAAAGAATATATACATAGTATATGTAGTAGTACAAGGGTAATTTCCATTCCTATGTCGATACGATATATCCTGGTGAGCTTGAGATAAAAGATACCACAGAGTCTGACAAATCTGTTTCATACCTGGATATTTTACTTGAAAAAGACACTAATGGTTCACTAACAACCAAGCTCTATGATGAACGTGATGACTTTAACTTTTCTATCGTCGACTTCCCTTACTTATGCAGCAATATACCTTCATCACCTGCAAACGGAGTTTACATGTCTCAGTTGATTCGATACGCTTGAGTATGCTCTACGTATGAACAATTTCTAAAACGAAGTAAATAAATAATTGACTAACAAGTTGATGAAACAAGACTATCAGCAGTCTCGTTTAAAGTCATCATTTTGTAAGTTTTATGATCGATACCATGACCTTGTCAGCAAATACAATTTATCATTGAGTCAAATGCTGGCTGACGTTTTTCATTCTAATTGTTAGCCCATTATTTATACACTGAATTGACGACAGATTTTTCCTCTATTTCCCTATCATGACAAGGAGCACACGGCGGATGTGACCGGTCGGCAGGGGATGCACACACTTCCATGGCACCTGATCCCACCTCTAATGTTTTGGAGGTCCCTGTTTGCTCTGCTCCTATTTTGTATTGTTTTATGGACTTTGATATTGAATATTGTTCGTTATCTCCATATCCTTCATTTCAGATATTCAATATGCAGACTCTGCGAAGTTTTCTTGTAATTAAAAAGCTTGAAAGCAATGGTAGGTGTATATTTGTAGCAGGCCCGCGTATAGGAAGCAATTTCAGTTGGGGGTACAGTCAAACATTTTCAGTTGTGTGGGAAAACTATTGGGGGAGGTCCCCCTCGACCCCTCACCCCCCGGTTTCTACGGCCCTGTGTAGGAAAATACAAGGTGTAGTCTTCATCTTGAAATATGGTGGAATTCTTGACTGTATCCTTTTGTGATTAAAATGTTACTTATATTAATCGCCTCAGATCCCTTTTTGGCATATGAAAGTTTAAGGGGGAAAACGGGTGATTACGCTGCATTGAATATTTCCTTCTGTAAAACGTGGCGGTTTAAAAAGTGTGTGATTTGCAATATCCATAAACACAGATCCGAGCCTGTATTCTGGTGTCAAGGAATCGAAATATGAATTTTCATTGGCCTTTTCAAGTCTATTATGTAAAAGTTTCAAAGGGACAGAGTACAGTTTGTTGCGAATTTGATAAAAACCTAACTGATGATTTTCATATGATATAAATGAGCAAAAGGAGACACCGTGTATGAAAGTTTTATTGTGACACCGATAAAGACAATAATTCCAATGAAAATTTTGTCTTCGATTATCATAGTTATCATAAGATAAGTTGTAAGTTTGTCACCATTGTCTTTTTCGAGTAAAACATTCAAGTATATAAAACAGAAATGTTCGTCTCGTTGGTGATCCAGTTCTTGATGATTTAGTCGAAAAAAAAGGATAAAAAGGGTTCTTGGATATAAAAAAAACTGTAATTTTTTTTTTCTTTGAAAAATTTTAATAGTAAATGTCATTTGGGTTCAGTATACATGATTTAGGAAATGAGAAAGGTAGATATATTAAACCCCAACGTTTTACTGAAGAAAATGCACCCAAAACAATCCGTCTTTTCTTTCAACTTCAATACCGGTAGGCCAACAAAGGAACTGACGCGGTTAATATTAGTAATATTCTTAATCACAAAAGGGTCCAGTCTTGTATTCCACCAAATTTCAAGTTAATTAAAGACTACACCTTGTATTTCCTACAAATATATATCGACTATTGCTTCCAAACTTTTTAGTTACAACTTTACATGGCCTGGATATCGAATATCTGAAACATAATCCTACATCGTGTTCATGTTCTTCTTCATCCTATAACTATAGTCCTGTTGGACACATTATTACAGGTGACGTATAAATATATAGATAATCATCAAAAGAATGTCAGATGCTGTTGATGATGTATTGAGAAAAGAACAAGCAGGATTTAGGAAACATAGAGAATGTATTGACCAGTTCTTTGCACTCCGTAACATCATAGAGCAGTGCACAGAGTGGCAGAGACATCTGTATGTAAACTTCGTGGACTTTGAAAGGGCATTTGACAGCATACACCGCGATAGTCTTTGGAGCATCCTACGCCATTATGGTATTCCATCCAAAATGGTCCACCTGATAAAGAGCTTTTATAACAACTTCAAATGCTCAGTAGGACACAATGACACCTTCTTCGATGTTAAAACTGGGGTCCGACAATGATGCCTGATGTCTGCAGTATTGTTCAACTTGGTCATCGATTGGGTCATGCGGAAGACAACAGAAGACTCTCCAAGGGGGGTCCGCTGGGGCCTGTTCTCAACACTTGGCCTTTGCGGATGACCTTGTGCTAATGTCTCACACACACCAGCATATCCAAGAGAAGACCAACAGGCTGCAAATCTACGGACAGCAAGTGGGACTACGCATCAGTACGAAGAAGACAGAGACAATGACACTTAATGTGGAATCGCCTGCTCCTGTTAGGGTGAATGGCGAGGAACTACGCCAGACAGATAACTTTATTTACCTGGGTAGTATCATTAACCAGAGGGCGGCACAAAGGAGGACATCCGCAGCAGACTGGGCAAGGCCAGGAGAGTATTTAGAGAAATGAATAACAACTGGAGGTCTGCACAGTATAGCACCAGGCTGAAGCTTTAACAAAGCTGTGTTGTATCAACTCTCCTTTTATATGGATCGGAGTGCTGGAGAAGAACAGAGACAGATCTTAGCAAACTACGATCTTTCCATACCAGCTGCCTCCGCCGAATACTCGGGATTTTCTGACCCGAGAAGATATCAAATGAAGACCTGCTGAGCAGATGCAAACAAGAGGACATGTGTACCATATAACCAAACGCCGATGGAGATAGATTGGACATGTTCTCCGAAAAGACCCCCAGTCAACAACTAGAAGAGCACTGTATTGGAACGCCAGAGAGCAAAAGAAAGAGGGGGAGGTCTAGAACGTCATGGCGAGGGACAGTTGAAGGCCAGATAAAAGCAATGCACCAGACCTGGGGATCACTGACAAGGCTAGCCCAGGATAGACAATAGTGGAGGAAGTTGTTGCTGTCCTACACACCACAAGGTGTAAAGGACGATGATGATAAACATAGTTACTAGTAATAATAAGGACCTTATTTCACTTAATTATTTTAAATGGTCTTAATATTATCATCATCATAAGTTCTATGGTCGATACAATGACCTTGACAAGGTGTGCTGTTTTTCATACTATAAAATATAATTGTTAGTCCATTATTTGTATATTGAATTGACGATGGATTTTTCCGCTAGTTCCCGACTATGACAATATAGGATCACATGGCGGGCGAGACCGATAGGCAGGGGATGCTCACTTCTCCATGGCACATGATCCCACCTCTGATGTTTTGGAGGTCCGTGTTTGCTCTGCTCCTATTGTATTGTTTTAGTGGATTTTTGAGCTTGAAGACTATATTGTTAGCTCCATATGTTTCATTGAAATTTTAAATTGTGTAAAGTGTGTCAAAACCTCAAAATAAAGAAGAAAAAACTTTTCATTTTGTTGTGTCCGAAATATGAAACACAGAGAAGATATTCAAAGCAAAATTATCTTCTTTTCCTGTAGTTTCAACCAAACAATCCATATCATATACAATTTTGTTAAAGTCAAAAATGAAAATACAGTTGTAAAAGGGTTTGTAAAATATCTTTTTATGTCAAATATATTATTTTAGAAAAAAATGTGTTAGTCATACGTACCTAGTCTCTGATGACTTCACTGCATCACTGAAGGGATTTCAAAAGTTTGTATTCATTTCTATAGTTGTGATCTAAGTACTGTACGTGTTATCATGCTTCAATTATTATGTTCTGTATGGGCCTTTACCAGTCACTGTAAATGTGTACACTACATATGTGTCAATAGATTATTGGACATTAAGCAAGTATAACAGGTTTTTTTTTATGAAAAATTAACCTGTTTCTTCCGCGATTTATTTTACCATTCACTCAAGGTGTATTGTAAATATTATTCAATAAACAAAATTTACATTTAAATTAATAAAGTCAATGTTCAAGATATTAAACATGAAGAATATAAAGACCATTATATGTACCAAAGTGAAACACTATTTTCCCTTAAAAAATGAATATTTTCATACAAAAATCCCGAGTTGCCTCCTCTTGGACTGCCTAATATTTCCCGCCACGCATTGCGAGTCTATGAACAACACGTGAAATCCAAAATGGCTGATCAGAATGATGAAGATACGACTCCGGCGGCAGATATTGTCGTTACTAAGTATAAAATGGCCGGAGATATGGTCAATGGTGAGATATTTACTAATAACTTGAGCTAATTTTATTTTTTAATGAATCTTTCGATGATGTTCATTTTAATAGGGCTTTCGTTCACTTTTGATAAAGCTAACGTTTTGCCATGCCGATTGACACATGTGTGATTGCACAACAAAGTGTCAAAACTTTTAGGTTATCTGTGATAATGAGAGAAAATGATTTCTGTGTTCTAACAAAGAACTACAATTATCATGACATCATCATTTAAAGAAACTTCTCAGCGCGATCTAGTTTTTCCTCTTTACCATATGTTTATATCCCCCCCTTCGCCTCGCCTCAACAAAATCACGATCCAACAATAAATCCTACTATTCCAATCTATCCAACTATCACGGATTAAGATTTTTTTTAATTGACATTTTTTATATGAATGGCTTTCATTCGTGGCAATTTGAATAAAAAAAAAAATTATAAATTTTTTTTTACATATGGTTGGTAAGCGGTGCGTCGATTTACCCAAATGGAAACACAAATGGACCCAAATGGAAATCAAATGGAATATCAAATATGTATTATCGTATTTTATTACTTATTTAAAATGATGAAAATAAATTAACTTACAGTTACAAATGGAGTTATATATTTATTATTAATCTCTAATATTGTATTTGGTGACATGAAGTTTTGATAGTATTCTATATACCGGCAAAATTTTTTGTGAAAAGGGGGTGGTATTATGATTGTAACACAACAATCCGTTCATACTGCCATAGAAACTATCAAATACTTCAGTTTTGTATTCAAATATGTTCAATAATAATTACAAATAGAATTAAATCACATTTTTAAAAATACAATTGAAGAAAATAATGATATTAAAATATTCTCTTTTTGTTAACATGGTTAATTTCAGTATTTTCTATATTTTAGATAAGTAAAAACTTGAGAATACAATATAATATATATATTTTATATTCCATTTGGGTCCATTTGATTTCCATTTGGGTTCCATTTGGGTCCATTTGTTTCCATTTGGGTAAATCGATGCACCCTTGGTAAGGAATTAAAATACAATGAGACATTATACTACTCGATTAATGTTGAAGGGTGTATTCACTCTTTTGGGTTTATCTTCTATTGAGATTTAAGTGGACCCTACCAAAAACACAATACTGGGGGATTATGTCATTATAGATAGTTTTCGATTGACCTAAATTTAGCAAAAGTTGCCTCCCGTTGGCCACCATACTGGAGGTCCAAATGCTCATATTCCTTCATTGTTCCACAAATTTTAAATTTTTATATTTGCGATTTTGAATTAGGAATCATTATTTTTCTGAGGTATAGGAATTTTTGGAAGCCTCCTTTATTTAAAAAAAATTATCTAATAAAGATTTTCCACCAAATATTTCTGCTATACTTTCTTAAACTTGGTAAGACTAAGAGGAAAACTCACCGAGTCGACCTCCAATATAGCGACAAACGGGATGTAACTTTTGCTAAATTATCGAAAACTATCTATAGGCAGGGGAACATTCCCCTGATCCACGTTTTTCATAACCCAGTATCAATCGATCGACCAATCGTAGATTGACATGATTGAGATCCATTGAATTTTAGTCATTGTCATAATTATAATAATTTGAATTCAAAAATGTGTTTGTTTTATTGCTAGTTGATTAACAACGTCTGTTTATTTAAAAGGCATCATGAAGGAAGTGATTGCCAAGTGTGTTGCTGGGGAAAATAACAACATTTGTGAGTTTGTGACAGGTTTTACAAGATGACGAGCAAAGTGTTTAAACAAGGACAAAGAAATGAAGAAAGGTATGAACATGATGAACAAAAAATCTACAGACTTTGTTAAAGCCCTCCAGCTTTAATCATTTCTAAGGTTGCAGTTGCCAAGTATGGTCATGGACAAGTTTTAAAAAAGAGTTAACTCATTTAAATGTATATAAAGAAGAATATGCATAAAGCAAAAAATTACAATGAACTGACACTTACAGGGGAATTATTTTCATTACCCATGGCTTTAAAATATATCGTAAATTGAACAGATAATGAGATTCAAATAGGTTCAACATGAACCAAAATCGTCTGTCCTTGAGACGTAACTCTAAGTGTATTTTACTGTATGTCATATTGAAAGTGAAAGGATTGTTTTGGTGTCTTAAAACATGTTATATTGGAAAAGAGTAAGAGAATGATTTAATTTGTAGAAATATTTAATTGCATTGGCCATATGAAGGTCTGTCTCAATCTTCTTGGAAATATCAGTGTGATGTCAGATTTGTGATTTTTTTCTAGGTATTGCCTTCCCAACATGTGTTTCAGTCAACAACTGTATATGTCATTTCTCTCCCCTTAAGAGTGACCCAGATAAAGAGCTCTCTGATGGGGATGTTGTGAAGATGTAAGTAAAAAAAATAAGAATGACTGTGTCGTGATGGGTGCTTATTTACAATAGGAGGTTTCAATTTGTAACCTTTGCGTATTTATCTGTTTTCAGTATAGAAAGAAGAGAAAGTTAACAAAAAAGAAAACTTCTTTCTCCATAAAATACTACACAAATTTGATTTTATTTCACTGTTTCTTTGTGAAAAACCACGACTCAAGATTTCCTTTAAATGATCTGTGAGTGAAATTAATATAGTCAATTTTCAAGAAAATCAATATTGATTTTTGAAAAAGATGATGAGAATAAGTATGGCACGCCAAATTCACAAAAATGAGATAAACCTAGTTTCACATTTGATAAACTAGGTTTATCGACTGTAAACTATAGTTTACAAACCGTAAATTATAGTTAACGATTCGTTAAGTATAGCTTTCATCTGTAAAACTATATTTAACAGTCGGTAACTATAGTTTACGAATGCTAATCTAAGTTTATCTGTCTGAATAAAGCGTTAACAATAGATTTTGTTGATTAA